TCTCAGAACAGCTAGCCAAAAATCCCTACCCCTTGTGCTCTGTATTTTGGCGGCTAAATTTTACAAGTACCAAATCTTGTTCCTCCACTCTTGGTAACCAATCATTGGCGGCTTTTTTTCCCTGTGCCCTTATTCATGAAAATACTTTTTCCCCAGGTGTTCCTGAGAAATACTTCTTCAAACTATTCAAACTAGTCTTGAAAGAGTTCATATTGCTGGTTACACCAGATACATTGGTGTACCCTGGGATCTTGCAGATAACTCTCAGGACTACTCTTGTCTTGTCAAGTAACAATAACCATTTCTATTAAACACAGCTCTTGACCTGCTCCACTGTTGCCTGCTGTGAGAATTCAATGTCTTGTTTGCAATTCCATAATGAAGTTGTCAACTACCAGCACTGTCTTCTGGATAATCTGTGTAAAATGCAAAATCTCATCTTGGCCCCTTTCTGTTTAGAGTTGAAGTCTTGCAGCTACAGCTCAACAGGACCTGGGTGACCACACAGTAAACAATGCCAAACGATATGCTTGATAAATGGCTTGTATGTACTTGGAAATCAAACAGACTGGATATTCCACAGTGTCCCTCTGGAGAAGGAGCCCTCAAAAATGAAATTTTCAATTGATAGATTCAGATTTTTTCCTTTGTTACTTTTCTGTCCTCCCAGAATCACTTCCTACTACATAATGCTCTTAATTATGGACTTCAAGTTCTATGGATTTAAAAGAAAAAAAAAAAAGCCTTGGGAAAATGTTATAAAAGCCAAAAAAAAATTGAATTATTTGAATAACCGTGTGTTGCTTTAGATGCCTATGTCCCAGCTCCAAATCTCTGAAGCAAACTGCATAACTGCAAGGATTTTATGTCCAGGAAGATGAATAGGACAGTTTTGTTGATGACTGCACAGCGAGGGAGTAACGTCTCATTAGGCATTGGTTTTTAGAGCTGGAAAATGCTGTCTCATGCCCTGGCTGCGTGTGTGTGCAGCAGCTCCAGGGGAGGGGGGAGCACGGCTGGGGAGCCATTCCTTTCACTGGTCTGTCCTACAGAGGAAAAAGATGAATGCTAGTTGACTATATTTTTATTAGCTTGCTCAAAGGCTATCAATGTTACTCTGCAGCAGGGATCAGTCAGGAGAGACTGCTGCACTGACAGCACTCTGCTGGCTCTCTGTGTGCCTTGAAAAAGGTTTGTCTGTCATCCCCTGGCAGAGGAACTGACGCATGAACTATGCAAACGCACATGCAGGAACTCAAGTCCTAAACAGTTTGCCAAGAGGATGTCAGACAGAACTGCCTGTTTTCCTTACTGCAGGAGAATGAATGGTGTTTGCCAAGAGGATGTCAGACAGAACTGCTTGTTTTCCTTACTGCAGGAAAATGAATGGTGCGAGACTGTTCTCCTCTCTGCATTCTGAAGTTTTCATAAATGGAGAGAGAAAGGGGCGGATTTCTGTTTACATAGAGCAAGGTTTGATCCTGTAATGGTAACATTATTCTCTAAACAAAAACTTCCTGAACAAAGGATATTTACCAGCCACAA